GATGAAATATATAAATAAGAAAAAGTATAGGGAGAAAAGAGCAAAAACGAGAAATATCCAAATGCGATTTAAGGAGAACAATTTCAAAGGACATTGGTTTCCACAAGCTAACGAAAACAGGAAACCAAAAGACTGATTATTACAAAAAAAAAAAAAAAAAAAAAAGTAGAGGAATAGAAGACTTCTAAAATAAAAAAGAAAAAAAAAAGATAGCATTACTGATATAACCAAGTCTCTTGTGAAACCGAGTCGAGGAAGTTCCAGATCTCGATCTCCCGATTTTTAGAAGCAATGGCGAAGCCGAGGTATTCGCGCCTTCCGGCTCGGAAATCGTCATCGTCAACTATGTTTCTAACCATGCTGATCATGTTCACCTTCCTGATTTTGATTCTTTTGGCGCTCGGAATCCTCAATTCCTAGCAGAACTCCGGAAATTCACCTAAACCTAACGATTTGAGCTCGATTGTGCATAACGTCGTCGACAGGTGAGTTTGTTTTTGAAATTTTGGTTGAGTTGGATGGCGAATGGCGATCTGGTAATAACTCTGCTTGTTTTGGTGCATTTTGAATTGGCAGAAGTGATGATGATAAGGAAGAGGAGAGCACTGGTTGAAGTCATCTCTTGGGAGCCTAGAGCTTTATCTACCATAATTCTTGGTCAGTTTCTCATTTTTTTTTCTTGGCAAAAAGGTTAATTTTTTTTTTCTGTTCCTCTTCATTTTTATTTTAACTCTAACTGAAGCATTATCGCTATTGAAATTATTTGTCAAAAAGCAATTTTTTTTATTTGTTGCCTTTGATTTTTTCTTTTAAATTTCATAGAAAAAGTTTCCTGTATTCTAGTACTTTAAACTGATAATGTAATGCGAAATATTTATTAAGAAGTTTATCTCAAATATATCCTTAGTAATTAAGCGGATCCATAAAATATAAGATGATTTAATGTCATTTTTCTATAGAATCATTCACAAGAACTAAAAACAAAAGCAAGGAAATCAGAGAAAGTTAATACTAGAATAATAAATGCATTCATGTCCTGTGTCCAATTTTTGGAGTAGATCCTATTATGAACATGGGTTTCTTACTTGGTCCGAAATGAATTTTTAGTTAGAAAGTTTTTGTACCTGATCAAGGTCCTTGTGATATTGGCAGTCCAAGGAGGAATGTTGAATACCTGATTGATCTTGCCAAGCCTCATATGGTAAAGTCAACCGTTGTTGATAGTGAAACTGGCAAGAGTAAAGATAGTAGGTATGTACTTCTTAATGATCTTATTGCATTATAGTTTTCTTTTTATATTTGTTAACTCTTTGATTATATGTGAAACCCTGGATGTTTACATACAGGGTACGTACAAGTTCTGGAACATTTCTAGCTAGAGGACGTGATAAGATTATTAGGAACATTGAGAGAAGGATTGCAGATTTTACCTTCATACCAGTCGGTATGTCTAGTATCTGGATCAATCCAAATTTATCTGTCATTTGTTTTTCATTACTTCACTAGTGTACTTCTTTCTTCCATATTATCATGTATTCTTCCTTAGAGTCTGCTTTAGGTCAGCTCTTGTTTTTTGTGCTATCAGTGGTTGTAAAGTTACTCATGGCAACACAATAATATGCAGAGCAGGGGAAGGACTTCAAATTCTCCACTATGAGGCTGGCCAAAAATATGAGCCTCACCTATGACTACTTCATGGATGAGTTCAATACTAAAAACGGGGGCCAGCGCATAGCTACAGTCCTTATGTACCTGTAAGTGGCATTACATATTTTCACTGTGTTTTTTTATCCTAGTGCATTATGTGTAAGTTCACATTTGTTCTTTCTGTACTTTTTTTACCATTTTACAGCTCAGATGTTGAAGAAGGGGGAGAGACAGTGTTTCCTGCGGCAAAGGGGAACATTAGTGCTGTGCCTTGGTGGAATGAATTATCTGAGTGTGGAAAAGGAGGACTTTCTGTTAAACCAAGGATGGGTGATGCATTACTTTTCTGGAGCATGAAGCCTGATGCAAGTCTTGATCCTTCAAGTCTGCATGGTTAGTTCTAGTTACTATTTAGCTTGCTGCTGAGGTGTGTGGTTCAAATTTCAGCTTTATCAAACAGGGACCCTTTAATTTTTGAGCATCATGACTCATTTCCCTTGAATGTCTAGTTGCATTACTTAATTTATCACAAGTTAATATCTTCCTACTTTCTGTTCATTCTTTTCTAGGATCATTTATAATTTACTGTTTTTAATTATCCAGGAGGCTGCCCTGTGATTAGAGGAAATAAGTGGTCGTCTACGAAATGGATGCGAGTCAATGAGTACAAGGTTTAAGCAAACATTATAAAGGTAACTTTTTCTATGTAGTTATTTGATAGTTTTTCAGAATCATTGACTTATCTATGGTTCCTATGGTTCTGTATCTAGACCCGTTAAATTAAGCTGATGATGATGAATATTAATTTATACCATATGCAATGTTGGTTTACATCTTCAAAAGAGCATCACTTAGCGTAAACTAAAAGTTCATGGAAAGGTCAAATTTAAGTGATTTTTTGAAATGAATAAGAGATGGCCTGTTGCAACGGATCGCTGAAAGCTACTCATTATTCACTTTTAATGATTTGAATTCTTTCTTCTTTTTTGAGAGTCAGGGAACAGAAGAACCTCAAAACCCCTGTTCCTGCTTTTTCCCCGATCTGCATTGTTCTAGGCATTGCTTTCTTCAGAGAATTCATACTAGCATTGTTCTTAACATTGTCTTTTATCTTACATTGCTTTTTTTGTTCTTAGATGACAGGATTGAGTTGGATTTCTTATTTCCGTACTGTACTTTTGGAAAGTTAAAGTGAGAACTCTGCAGCCATTGTGCTTCAAGTATGGTATACTGCCTGGTACCTTCCTCCTATCTTTTTTCGTGTAGTGCTCTCTCCTGCTGACTTGGGCTCATGCTTCAATCTTGTTTCTTCTTTTTTTTCTTTTTTTCTTTTTTTTAATTTTCATTTCTTTGGTTCCACTTTTACCTCAGACAAGAGCCTTTATATTTTACTACCACTAATAATAGAATAAAGCCGGATTTTTCGCTTGCATGCGAAGTGAAATTCCCAGCACAGATGAAATTATATTTATCAAGAATGACAAGTTATTTATTTGACGTCTTTAGAGTCTTTTTAAATTGTTCTCTGCCCACCATGCTTAAC